ACCCTGGGAGAGACAGACAGTATCACAGTGTACAGTGCAGCAGACAGACAGTATCACAGTGTTACAGTGCAGCAGACAGACAGTATCACAGTGTTACAGTGCAGCAGACATACAGTATCGAAGTGTTACAGTGTAGCAGACAGAGAGTATCACAGTGTTCCAGTGCAGCAGACAGTATCACAGTGTTCCAGTGCAGCAGACAGACAGTATCACAGTGTTACAGTGCAGCAGACAGACAGTATCACAGTGTTCCAGTGCAGCAGACAGACAGTATCACAGTGTTACAGTGTAGCAGACAGACAGCATCACAGTGTTACAGTGCAGCAGATAGACAGTACATTGGCTTTACGCACTGTGAGGTTGTCCTGGCTTTGCTGGACGTGGGCTCTCTTTCCATCCTGGGACTGTGGAAAGTCCTTTGCTAGTGTAGATGACAACTTCAGCCATGTTCCCCGTCTCTCAGTCCCTTCCTTTCTCTTCTGCTCCCCATTCATCTCTGCCCCTCTGCAGAGAGAGAAAGAGTGACTCATCCGCCTGTAATCTGAAATCAACAGAGCAGGGAGACTTTCCAGGAGCACAGGAAGGCCACGGACTAGTACCGACAAGGAAGGAAGGGTTTAGGCTGCAGCTGTACCCTGTCTCTGTTTCTGCGAATTGACTAACATTTTAGAGAGTGCAAAATCATCACCAGAAGACAAAGAGATCATGATCCGCCCGAGTGATCGGCCCCTCGGTTTTGGGAAGTGCCGGGAAGTCAGAGTCCGACGATCACTAGTGATGGGTGGATGGCAAACCTTTTATGGAGTCGAGTTCTTCACCTCCCAGATTCAGGCTGATGAAGGTTATGGATGAAGTGTTGAAAGGTACTTTGCAGAGGGCAGCAGGACTCACAGTCGGCTGATCTGCCTCGACGATATTATGTCAAAGGGCTCCGAAGAGAGAGCAGTACTTCAGTGTCTCCTCTGTCTCCGCCATTGAGGTTGGTTCCAAGCTGCCCTGAGTTCTTGGACAAGGGTGCTGTAGCCCCAACGCTAACCAAGACTCTGACTCTGGCCCTCAACCTAACTCTGACTCCAAGAACCATTTCCCTGGAGTAACCACTGAGACTCGTGTGATGGTCTAAAGTGGTCAGGGAAACGCCAGCTGTGAATCTATCTTAGCTATGCCACCCCACGCCCTGTCTACTGCTCTGTACTGCCCCAGTGGGAAGAGATCAACAGGCGTCCCTTTGCCCTGAGGCCAGAAGGACTTTGGAATGACGCGATCTGCTTGGGGCAGGTTCACTCTCTGATAAGATCAAACATACGGAGAACAGAGACACTGACGCACACACTTCAGCAGGCATGAATTTATTGGTGGCAGATTATGAAGCTTTACATTTCCTGTAACATGGAAATTCATATGTATACTTATATGCGACGTAATATATATATATATAATTATCACAGATTTCTGAATTGTAATGATTACTGTCAACTGGGAAGGAAACGCATTCCAGTAACTGGGAACCGCTGGACAATCCCAGGGAGATGCAGACCGAACTGGGGAGGGGACATCACTGCAGATAGAAGATCTCTCCTTCTCTGATCAGAGCGTCCACATTTCGTTCGGTGTTGATGAAGAACTCTTTCATCCTCTTGATATCATTGTGTCTCTCCATCATGATATTAATGTGGCGGTTCAGGACCTCCCCCTGGCATTGTCCGCCGACGGGGGCCATGGGGGCAGTCTTTCCAGACTCCTTGTCCCGAAACCTATATAAGCAATAGGACCCTGCCCCCTCCATGGCTCCGAGTACGAGGTCACAGTCCAGCACGATGGTTTCGCGCTTCTTCCTGGAGTACGCGTGCAGGATGGCGTCCAGGTCCCTCTGGTAGCTCTGTAAGGTGGTGAGGGCGGCGCTGCGGTACGCATCATCAAAGCGCGCCAGGTGGATGAGCATGCCGGAGTGCAGGGCGGCCCCGTTGGCCCAGGTCTTCACGGCCCTGGAGTTGACGTGGCCGTCGTACACCATGGAGTTCTTCACCGTCACCAGCTGATCGAAGATCTGGGACTCGTAGCTCTGCACCTGTTCACACAGAGAGGGGAGGGAGGGCAGAGAAAGAGACACAGTGATGCAGGGTACAGTCACAGATAGAGGGCAGACAGTGAAAAACTGTCTCTACTCATTTCAGGTGTTACATAGTAGAAGGTGGAGAGAAATGACCATTCATTCTTGCACAGGATTAGGCTTCAGGTCTCCTCCCACACACGTAGGTGTAGCGTTATTTAGGACTTGGTAGCATGGAATCGACGGGCTCGTGCAGCACTGAGAACTCTTATTTAGAGTAAGTCAACTCAAGCTTTATTGACCCCTAGGGGAAATTTGTTTTACAGCACAGTCAGACACAACACAATGACAAATAGACATCATCACAAGGGAAGAGAACACAGTAGGGTTACAGGAGAAAAGAAACAAGAGCATCATTGTTTCTTAGTAACAATAACAGCAGCATTCTCACCTGCGTCTGCACATCGTTCACTGATAAATAGTGGGACTTTAAATCTGAACCAAGCTGAAACACAGCTCTGCTCATGATATTAGAAATGATGCACAGAAAGGTTGCTTTGTGAGACTTAGGCGTGACTGCTGCAGTTACAATTCAGATTTGTGTAAGTGTTCAATAAGCTTACAGATACCTGCACAGGAATCACTGATCACCTCCGTCACAGTAATCAATACCTACACAGTAATCACTGATCACCTCTGTCACAGACACCTGCACAGTAATCA